TGGTGGGGCTTGCCCGTCGATGTCGTCGTCGCGTGGTGGGGCTTCGAGGACGTCGAGGACGACGACGTCGCGTGGTGGGGCTTGCCCGTCGACGTGCTCGTCGCGTGGTGCGACTTGCTCGAGCTCGACGGGTAGTGCGATGGGTGGTGCGACTTGGTCGACGACGACGGGTAGTGGTGCGACTTGGTCGACGACGACGGGTAGTGCGACACGGTCGACGACGGGGTAGTGCGACACGGTCGACGACGACGAGGTGCCGCCGCGGACGCAGCGCTTGAGCGGCGACCACTTGTCCTTGCGCGCGCAGACGTAGCCCTTGGGGCCTGCACCGAGAGGACGGCGAGAGTGTCAATCGACGACTCGAGAGGAGAGACGTATCGAGAGAGAGAGAGAGAGACGAGGACGCACAGGCCTTCTCGCCCTTGCCAGACGCGGTGCCGCAGGTGCCCCAAGGCTTGGCCGTGTCGACGTGCACGGGCTTGCAGCGCTTGACGAACGGCGACAGGCTGACCGTCTTGCACTGGAAGCCGTCGTAGCCTGTGACGAGGCGAGAGTCAGTGCCCGAGTCTCGCTCGATGACGACGACGACGAGGAGAGGAGAGGGACGCACAGTCGCGCTCGTGCTTGAAGCCCTTGGCGTAGCAGACGTCGAACGCGCCCGCAGGCTTGCCGCCGCCGTAGCCGCCGCCGCCGAACCTCGAGGCCGACATGGTCGAGTCGTCGTCGGCTGCGGCCGGGTGAGGCGCGCCGACGACGAGAGGGACGACGAGCGCCGAGAGGGCGAAAGTCGACAGGCGCATAGTGTAGAGAGTAGAGCGAGAGAAAGGACGAGGGAGAGGTTGGCGAGAGGGGAGGACGAGAGGAGGGTGCGTGAGAAAGGGAAGAGAGAGAGAGAGAGAGCGGCGCGCGGAGCGAGCCAGGCCAGCCCCACGCTCGGTGGGTGCCAGGACCAAGCTCACGGTACGAGCCCGACGCTGGCGAGCCCCGTCCCCCCAAACCCCTCGTAGCGCTCGAGCATCGCGGCACAACGGCCTCTCGAGCGAGGCCGCCGCCGCGCGAGCAGGCCCTTGAGGCTCACAGGCGCGTCCTGCCGCAGTCTGACACGTCCAGGTGCCCTCGAGCGCGAGAGCTGCACCCGAAGCGTCGGCGAGAGGGACAGGAGAGCCGCCGCACACACCGTCTCGCGGACGTCGCGCGAAGCGGGGGTTCCGACGAGACGGCGCGGCGAGAGCGGCGCGCAGCGGGATCCACGCCGCGCAAATGGGTGCAATCGCCGTCTGAACGCAAGCTCATGCGGTTCCGTGCGCGAGCAGCGGTCGAGGACGCGAGGGGGGAAGAGAAGAGGTCGGCGAGGACGAGGGGGAGAATTGAGCGGTGGGGGGCGCTGTCGAGCTCGAGTGTGCCGCACAGGCCTCGAGCGGCGTCGCTGGAAGCTGAGCTGAGCTGTCCAGCGTCGCGAGGAGACGGTCGTGGGCAGAAGCTCGAGGTCGACCGCCAGCTCGGCCGCCCTCTTGTCCCGCCTCGCCGCGGTCACCGCGGATCTTGCGCGCTCTTTTTCGTCCTGCTTCTCTCAGTAGTTCAATCGCAGCGTAGATGCATGCCTGTAGCGTCGCCTCTAGGAAAGAGCACCGTGTGGCAAAAGTCGAGCGGTGCGAAGGAGGGACGCCGAGGGCCCGAGCGGTTTCGCGACCTCTCTCACGCCTCGCCCACGGCCGCTCTCGACCACGAGCGCTTTGCAGGCACTAGAAAGACTACTGCATGCCGCCACGGAGGCGCAGGACGAGGTGGAGGGTCGACTCCTTCTGGATGTTGTAGTCCGACAGGGTGCGGCCGTCCTCGAGCTGCTTGCCGGCAAAGATGAGGCGCTGCTGGTCGGGCGGGATGCCCTCCTTGTCCTGGATCTTAGCCTTGACGTTGTCGATCGTGTCCGACGACTCGACCTCGAGCGTGATCGTCTTGCCGGTGAGGGCTGCGGGAGGGCGAGAGAGGGCGAGGGAGGCGACGAGGGAGAGGGAGAGAGAGGAGGAGAGAGAGGAGGAGAGGGGAGGGGAGGAGAGGGAGGGGCGGGAGGGGAGGGAGGGGCGGGAGGGACAGGGCGAGAGAGAGAGAGAGAGAGGGAGGGTCAGTGCGCGCTCGACCCGACCGACCGACCGACGACCGAGAGAGAGAGAGAGCGTGGGACGCACTCTTGACAAAGATCTGCATGCCGCCACGGAGGCGCAGGACGAGGTGGAGGGTCGACTCCTTCTGGATGTTGTAGTCCGACAGGGTGCGGCCGTCCTCGAGCTGCTTGCCGGCAAAGATCAGGCGCTGCTGGTCGGGCGGGATGCCCTCCTTGTCCTGGATCTTAGCCTTGACCTGGAGGGCGAGGGACGAGTCAGTGACTGGGCCCGAGGCGGTGGGAGAGAGAGAGAGGGGGGGGGTGGGACGCACGTTGTCGATCGTGTCCGACGACTCGACCTCGAGCGTGATCGTCTTGCCGGTGAGGGCTGCGAGAGGGCGAGAGAGGGAGGAGAAGAGGGTCAGGGCGCGTTCAACGACGAACCGCGAGAGAGACGGCGGACGCACTCTTGACGAAGATCTGCATCGTGTGCGGTGTGTGGTGAAGGTAGAGAGGAGCTGGCAGGAGGGAGAGAGAGGCGAGGTCAGCGCTGAATCGGTGGCGGTGCTTCTCGCGTGTTCGCTGACGCGAGCCACCTCGCCCGCCACTGCGCCTCGCGCCCGATCTCGCCGCGCACCGCTCCTCGATAGGGGCACAGAGTGCTGTCGGACGGTGCGAGCCGCACCCTTAGCCGTGGCCGCCGAGATGAGCTGGCCGGGGGAGGGAGATGACGGGGGGCGGGGTGTTGACGCGGGGGACGGCGGTGGTGCAAGGGGGTGCGGGAGGGAGAAATGGGGCTCACTGGGTGCTGGAGGTGAAGCTGGGAGTGCAAGCGCGAGTCTCGAGTGCGAGGCTGGTGCTCGAAAGTGAGGGGGAGGAGGGAGAGGGGAGAAGCCGAGGCCGCGGCGCCCGACGTCGACGACGACAAAGGCGAGGCCGACACCTCGCTCTGGTGGCCTTGAAGGAGTGCGAGTGGCCGTTTGAGTGCATCAGCCACCCGTACCACTGACCCTGGCCCTCGGTGAGACGAGTTGGTCGCCTCCCCTCGAAGCGACGAGGCGCCGACTCGAACGACCGCTCCCTCTCGCGCTGCCTCACTCGCTGGCTCGTCGACAGCTCAGCCACGGCTACTCAGAGCACACGGATCCGCCAATAGCGATCCGCCAGCTCCTCCCTGTCAGCTGCCCCCTCTCGCTCCCCCACTCCCCGCCGCCCTCGTGCCGGTTACTTCGCCATGGCCGCCGTACCTCTCTTCCCGCGCCACAAGCCACGTAGGGTCGTGCTCGACGCGCTCTCCGGCCCGGCGCCCAACCCCAAGGTCAAAATCTGGTCGGCCACCCAGTTCAAGCAGAGTGCGTCGCCGCGTGCGGACTCGGAGGCACCTCCTGTTGCCGCTCTTGCGCCTGGTTCTGACTCGTGCGCCCCCGCTACAGTGTACCGCGCCTACCAGTGGACCCAGGGCTTTGACGTCGAGGTCACCCACGACGAGCCTGACCGCGTCGTCCTCGCCTGCGCAACTCACCGGTCCGCTCCCTCTCCCTCCTCTCGTCACCGCCTCGCGCAAGCTCACTCGCTCCCCCACGCAATAGCAACACGTGCCCCTTCTCCATCACGGCCACCTTCAACCTCTACACGCACTTCGCCGGCCAGCCGGGCTGGTCCCTCCCGCCCGACGAGTACTACCCGACGCACGACCACCTCGCGCCGTTCGTCCCGCTCGACATCGGCGTCGAGAACGCCCGCCTCGCACGGCTCGAGCATGGCGACCCGGCGATCGAGGTGCCGCCGCTCGTGCGCGCTGCGTCGGCGTCGGCCGGCGCTCGTGTGCCGCATGCCGCGGGCTCGAGCGTCGGCGCCGGCGCCGCAGGGCCCGGCGCGCCGACTCTCGTCAGCCGCGCCCTCTCCCGCGCGTCGAGCTCGGGCATACGCCCCGAGCTCGAGCAGCAGCAGGCGCCGCCGACCCAGGGCCCGCCGCGGTCGACCTCGCCCTTTTTTTTTTTTCTGGATGTTCATGTGATTCCAACGGCCCGCTTTGAGTGAGAGGAGCGCAAATAGAGCCTACGACAAGTCCACCCTTTCGCCGAAGAAGAAAATGACAGGAGAGGCTCGCCCACCGTCGCCGGTTCGCCCTTCCGTCGTCTCGAGCGTCCAGCATTGCCGCCGCGCCACCTCGCCGCGCAGCACAGCCGGTTGACGAGCGCTCGGCCGAGGTGCGCTCGCTGTCGCCGCTGCCGTCGCCGTCGCCGCGCGAGCTCCCGCCGCAGCCACATCCGTCTGCGCTGCGCTCGAACCCGTTCCGGTGAGGGGACAAAGCGTCGGAGCAGTACTTGGCCTGCCCCAGCTCTCCCGTGTCTCTCTCGCTTTGCAGCTTTCGCTTTGCACTGTGCAGCAGTCCCGAGGCCCGTAAGAGTGCGAAGGAGCGAGAGACTCAGGACAGCGCTCGCGAGGGCTCATGCGCTCTGTGCGCGCGTCGCGGCGCGGCCGACTGTCGCACCTCTGAGGCCGCCTCGAGCTCCGCCTCTTGCGTCGACCATGCAGCGCAAGCACGTGTGCATCTTGCCAGCCGGTGTGTGCAGCAGCTCTCGCGACCCTGCAGCCCCTCACTGACCCCCCTGGCTCGCCGCGCAGACATCCCGCTCGAGGAGGCCGCCGACCCGTCGTCGTCGTCCAGCTCGGCGCGCTTCTTGCGGCTGCCACACCCTCGGACCAGTGCGCCTGTGCCGCTCACTCGCTCGATAGAACGTGTCAGCTCACCTTCCCGCACCACCGCGCAGACCAGCCGGCCCTGTTCCTCCCGTACTCGCCGTCTGGATCCTCATCACCCGCCGACGGCCTCCTCGAGGTCCAGAAGATCTCGCTCGACGCCGACAAGTCGCGCTGTTGGTTCCTGCCGGACGAGGTCGCTTCTGGTGCGTCCCTCTCCTCGCCCCCTGTCAAGCCCCACGAGGTCGAGCTGACCTCCTCGTGCCCCCCTCCTCCTCGTCAACAGACGGCTCGCTCGCCATCATCTCGCCGTTCGACCCTGTCTTCCTCGTCCTCGCCTACCTGTCCCTCCTCGCACCCCGCTTCCAGTCGTACGCCGACCTGTGGGACTCGGTCGCGCAACTGCACTTCAAGGTCGACGGCGGCGGCGACGCGGCCAAGACGGGCGACGACGAGAGCGATGAGCAGGGCGGCGACTTTGCCGACGACCTCGGGCGTTTGGCGCAGCTGGACTGCGTCAAGGAGCGGCTGCTCAAGGTGTGCGAGACGCAGGGTGAGTCTCGGGGCCCTTTTCCTCGTGCTCTTTATCTTGGGCCCGCAGCCCGGCGGCACATCCTTTGCTCACCCGGCGCTCCGCCTCCTCCTCTGCAGAGCACGAGTCGACGACCCTCTACCGCCTGTCGCCCTCACTCGCCCTCGACCTCCTCCGCGCAAAAGTCGACGCGCTCGCCCGAGTCGACGGTGGCATCTTTGGCCCGCTCGAGTCGACCCAGCTCGGCGAGGAGGCCAAGCCGGCGCCCGCTGCCGAGCCGGTCGGCGAGGGCGAGCAGCGCGAGTCGGGGCCGCAGGCAGGCTCTCGCCGCTTCTCGACCGTGTCGAGGGGCCTCGCCAAGGAGGGCGCCGGGAGCGGGCACGGGCTGAGCGAGCAACTGCAGATCGGTGCGTCTTTCTCTCGCTCTCTCTCTCTTCGTCGAACTTGGCCCTGGACGTGAGCCTGACCCATTATCTCTCTCTCTCTCATGTTCCCTCGCAGAGAGCCGGCAAAAGTACGCCGTCGGCGTCGTCGCCAACTACCTCCCGGCAAAGCTCGTCCAGGACCTCCTCGCCTCGTACTCGTGCGTCTGACTCCCTCTCTCACGGAGGTCCACTCCTCTGCGCGTCCCCGTCGGCCTGACGCGGTCCCCGCCGTCGCGCAGGTTCCCCGCCCTGACGGCCTACCTCTCGTCGTCGGCCACGTCGTCCGTCCTCGGGTCGACCTACCTCCCCGGGCGCGCCGCCGCCAAACTCGAGGCGGCCCTCGCCGGTGGCGACTCGGGCTTTGGCGCTGCGGCCAAGAAGCGCAAGGCGGCCGAGAGCAAGGGCAGCAGGGGCGTCGAGGCGCTCAAGAAGGTCAACACAAAGGGCATGGCGTCGCTCAAGGACATGTTTGGCCGGCAGGCGGCGGGCAAGAAGCCCGAGGCGGCCAAGAAGGAGGCGGCCGACGAGAGCGGGCCGGCCAAGAAGAAGCGCAAGGCGTAGATGGGCGAGGTGGCCCCAGAGCGGTGCGCAGAGACGGGCAGAGGCTCAGTGTCGGATTCTGCTCTCGAGGAGCACATCTTATCGGTTGTATTGTCGTCCTTGTTGTCACACTCTCTCGCAGCGAGAGCGAGAGCGAGCGAGCGACGTGCGCGAGCGAGAAAGAGAGGAACGTGCACGAAAGGGTCTCTTGCGACAAGAAGGCTCGCTTCTCTCTCTCTCTCTCTCTCGCTCGACGAGGGCGCAAATCGTCGAGTTGCAGCTCATCGACGCGGTCCCATCCCCACCGCGTGCACACTCTCTGACAGCTCCCACATGGCGCTCCGCAACTCGGCGTCCTCCTTCGACAGCGTCCCGCCCGCCGCCGCCGTCGCGCTGTCGTTGCCCGGGTGCGGGAACAAGAAGCCGTCGTCGGCGTCGCAGTGCGTGCCAAGGGCGGGAACGGTGCCGTCGAGGAAGTAGGACCGGATCGTCTTGGCGGTGCACAGGGACGGGTGGGCGAGGGAGCAGTGGCCGAAGCTGCGGGCGAGGGCGAGGAGAGTGAGCGTCGTGTACGCTCGAGCGGGCCTGAGTCCGATCGTACAGGACGAGTACAGAGGGCCGAGGAGGGAAGAGAGGGAGGAGACGCACCCGGACTGGGTGACGAGCGTCGACGAGCTGTTGCCGAACCCTTGCTGCATCTTGACGGCGGCCGACAGGGGCGTGACCGGGTCGGCGTCGAGCGAGAAGAAGACGATCGGGTAGCTGCCGGCGCCGCGAGGGCAAGGCGGTCAGGTCGCGAGCGCAGAGAGGAGGAACGAAGAGAGGGAGGGAGAGGGAGGCGCACTTGGTCTTTTTGAGGCCGTCGGCGACAGTCCACGGGCCGCGGTACACCTCGAGCGCCTTTGCGCTCCAGTGGCGACACTGCGTGATCCAGATCGTCCAGATGTCGGCCGTCGGGCTCCTCGTCGTCCTCGCGAGCTCGTTCATGTAGTCCCACACGCCGCGCACGGTCGAGTTGCGCAACGCGGCCGGGTCCGTGTCGGAGCACATGATGGCCGCCGTCGACGACGAGAAGCCGCCCGAGGGACGGCGGAACGGCCAGTGCTTGACCGACGAGGGCGTGCGGCTCGGCGAGAGAGCAGCCGAGTTGGCGGCCGCGAACAGGTCCGAGCCGTTGCCGCGCTCGGTGTCGGCAAGGAGCTGCGCGAGGTGCGGCCTGCGACGCAATGACCTAGTGAGCTCGGCTGAGAACGAGAGAGAGAGAGAGAGAGAGAGAAAGGGAGGCTGGGACGAACCAGGTCTTGGGCGCGTAGAGAGAGTGGAACATCTGCAGGTCGGACCCACTCGTCATTGAGCTGCGCTGCGTCTCGAGAGACGGTCGGAGAGACGCCTGGGCGCACCGTGTACTGCACGTCACTGGCAGTGAGCACGCCAGGCCCGACCGCGCTCGCGCCAACCGGCATCGGCTCGTCGCGCAGCCGTTCGAGGAGCGCGTCGTACCGCTTCTCGAGCGCCTCGCCCGTCGAGTTGTCGCGCGGCGCGAACGCGCACCCGCGCGGGCCCGACTCGGCGCACGACGAGAAGAAGCCCTCGATGACCTGGTCGCGGCGGTCGGTGAGTAGGCGGGTTAGGGCTCGGTTGAGGGGCAGGGAGGAACGAGGTATGAGCGAGATGGGGGCGCACCTTGCGCGTGTCGTGCATGCCCGACCGGCCCCACTCGAGCAAGTCGTTCGTGTACGTCTGCGAGTCGGACACGCCGTCGAGTACGACGCCTGCAAGGGGGCAGGGGCAAGGTCAGGCTCCCCGTTCCCGCATGACGAGTCGAGGGGGAGAGAGGGACGCACGGCCGACAAGCTCGGGGAACATGGCGCTGAATGTGGCGCCGAGGATAGTGCCGTAGCTGAAGCCCCAGTACGTGAGCGTCTCCTCGCCGAGCGCCTCCATGATGCGCTGCGGGCGGTTCGCGCGGTGTGAGCCTCGGCCGCGCCCGAACGACGAGAGAGAGAGAGGGGCGCGTGCGCACCTTCATGTCGCGCGCCGTGAACGCGGTCGAGCTCGAGCGCAAGATGGCCTGGTTGGCGGGCGTGTCGCAGGCCGAGTCGAGCGCGCGCGAGAAAGCGTCGATCCGGCGCGTCCAGGACAAGCCGGCGGCGAGAGAGGCGTTGCGGGACGACGCGAGAGCGGATGAACCGAGTGCTTCTGCCAGGGTGCAGTAGCGTCAGAGTGTCGTGCGGTAGAAAGAAAGAGCTGGGGAGGAGCGCGACGCACCATAGCTGAGCCCGGCGTGCTCGACGTCGCGCTGGAACCGGTTCGCGTCGCCCTCGCTCGCGAAGCACTCGAGGCCCGGCGATGTGAGGTTGACCGAGCGTGGGTCCCACGAGATGATGTTGTAGCGGCCTGTGCGGGTGGGCGGGAGCAAGGTCTCAGGAAACGTCGCCGGGACGGGCGCGAGCGACGGACGAAGGGGGCCGCACCGCTGACGATGCGAGACAGTATGGTGCCGAAGTGAAGGATGGCGAGCGTGCCAGATCCACCAGGACCACCTGGATTCGTGCTGCGGGGGCAGGAGGTCAGTGATGCGGTCCAGGGTAGGTCGAAGAGGGCAGAGAGCGCGAGGGGACGCACAAGAGGTAACCGAGCCGCTCTTTCGGCGGGACCGTCGCCGGGATCATGCGCAGTGCGAGCGAGACAAGGTCGTCTGCCTTCGGGTCGGTATAGTCTGTGTGCGGGGACAGGGCAGGTCCGTCAGCTCACTCGGCGAGGGGGGGAGGAGGGCAGTTGCGAGCTCACCGCGAGGGACGTTGAGGAAGCCGCAGTAGGTCGTCGAGTCGTCTGGGCACTGGCTCCACCAGATACCGCCGCCCGGCTGGACGAGCGTGGCCGTCGTCGAGGTGTTGAAGCACAAGCGGGCGCTGTGAATGGCGGCGAGGACGAGAGCGGCGACGACGAGGAGGGCCTGCTTGGTGCGGGCATGGCGGGCTGGCAGCGATGCCGCCGGCTGCTGCGGCAGCTTCTCGGGATCCATGGCGTGAGCGTGGGAGGAGGAGCGCGCGGTGTGGTCGTCCCCACCTCGGAATTGGCTCTCACGGGGAGGCGCCAGATTTGCCGTCGGCCCTCGCTCGTGCGCCGGCTCACCTCTCTCGCTCATGCTCTTGCGCCGCGCACCTCTTCTGATCCGCAGCTTGCACTCGACCTCTACAACCATGGGACGCTTCGCTCTCAGTGCGTCCCTCCCCTCACTCGTTCCTCCCTCGTCCCCGCTCGACCTCCACCTCCCTCGCCGATGACGCCGATGAAAGCGTTCGCCTCGTCTTGGGGCAGCCTGCGCATCCACAGCACAGCTGACCGGTCACACATGCCCCGCAGACCACACCATGCTCCGCGTCAAGGACGCCGAGAAGTCGCTCGACTTCTACACCCGCATCCTCGGAATGGAGAAGAGCGAGTCCCTCTTCCCTACCTCCCCGTTCGGCGGTCGCACGAGCTGACTTTGCTCTCCCGTACACAGTCCACGAGTCGCCCGGCGGCGACTTTACCAAGTGCGCCCCGACGCCCTCGACCTCGAGCACCCCGAGAAGCAAGAGCTGACCTGGCCTCTTCTCCCCGCCGCAGCTACTTCCTCGCGTTCCCCGAGGAGGGCAAGGAGGGACTCAGCGCCGAGGAGAAGGCCGAGCGCAAGTTCAAGCGCGAGGGGGTTCTCGAGCTGTGCCACAACGTGCGTCCCCCTCCTCCCTCTCCTCGCGCTCTTGCAGAGCCTGACCCTGGCGCCATCTTCCGCAGTGGGGCACTGAGAAGGACGCCGACTTTAGCTATGCGAACGGCAATGAGGAGCCTGGTCGCGGTGCGTCGCTCGTTCCCCTCCTCTTCCTCCTTCCCCCTCGCCGACTACTCCCTTCCCCCGCCCTCCTTCTTCTCGCCCGCCTCCTTCTCCTACCTCTCCCTCCCTCGCGCACGCACTCACAGAGTCTCGACTGACCCTCTCGTTCTCTCTGCCCTCAGGCTTCGGCCACATCGCCCTCTCGTGCGAGGACGTCGAGGCCGAGTGCGACCGCCTCGAGAAGGAGGGCGTCGAGTTCAAGAAGAAGCCGTCCGAGGGCCGCATGCGCCACATTGCCTTCATCGTGCGTCCCAACCCCCACCCCCCTTTCCCGTCTCTCCTGCTCCTCCCTCTCTGCGACGCCGCTGACTCTCCCCTCCCCCGCCTCGTCCTCGCGCGCGCGCAGTACGACCCGGACCGCTACTGGTGCGTCCCTCGCCTCCTCCTCCTCCTCTCCCCCTCTCCCTCTCACACCCGCGCGTGTGCCTGACGACGCTCACCTCGTCATGCAGGATCGAGCTCGTCCCGAGCGGCGGCAAGAAGGGCGAGAAGGGCATGTGAAGACCTCCTCGACGCCGCCCGGGACGAGCTCGATCCTGCATGACGAGGTGAGCGTCGTCAGGCACACGCGCGGGTGTGAGAGGGAGAGGGGGAGAGGAGGAGGAGGAGGCGAGGGACGCACCAGTAGCGGTCCGGGTCGTACTGCGCGCGCGCGAGGACGAGGCGGGGGAGGGGAGAGTCAGCGGCGTCGCAGAGAGGGAGGAGCAGGAGAGACGGGAAAGGGGGGTGGGGGTTGGGACGCACGATGAAGGCAATGTGGCGCATGCGGCCCTCGGACGGCTTCTTCTTGAACTCGACGCCCTCCTTCTCGAGGCGGTCGCAGCCTTTCAGTTACTACCGCTGAAGATATGGTATCAGACTTAG